ATAGATGCATAGCAGAAAAAGAAACAAAACTTTTTTCTCTCAAAGCAATTTTTATAATTTTTATTCAAGTTAAAACCACAAATATGTGGCCTGTGTCCCCACATAAGACTTTAAGTTCCATAAAGGCAGACATAGGTGCTTGTTTTTGTCACTGCTATTTCTCCAGTGCCTAGAATATACACTAGTAGAATGTGAAAGAGTTAAAGAAAAGAAAAACAAGAAAAGTGGCTCAACAGTCAAAGACAGGTTTATTTTGGAGAATAAACCTGAAAGGGGAGTCTGGCCGATTTCAGTCAAGAACATTCTCTCATACAGACCAAGAGTATTTAAGGGTTTAGGGTAAGATATTATCACAGACTTGGAATGTTTCTGTGTGGAGAAGCTTATTGTGGGATTGGGATGTCCCTGGTCGGAGGGGACGTTTCTTGGAGCTGACATCTTCCCAGTCAGAGGGGAGGTTATCTCCGGGCTGGTGTGGCTTTGGTAGGGGAGGGGTTTAAGATTGGAATGTTTCTGGTTGGAGATGTCATTTGTGGTTCATGGTCATGCTAACATTAGTCCTATCATGCTGACGCCCTTTGGGTTGGATTTAGGTGGTTCTTTAATCAAGGGGAACTTTAAAATGATGGTCCTGGTCTAAGATGGTGATGCTCCTGCTCTGTCAGGATACTTAATTAATATTTGCTAAAGAAATTAATAAATCATAGATGAAAATAAAGCTTTTCTCCATTTCTGAAATCAGAGACCATACTCTCTTAGCACTCATCACTGCAAGGGACCTCAGCTTCAGTCCTTGCCTTGTTGTCTTCAGAGCCCTTCCTATGCATAAATTTGTGAGTTTATCTCTAAATCCAATGTGAGAAATCTAAAAAAAAAAAAAAAAAAAAAAGAATCAAAATGTATGTAGTGTAAGCCTCCAAGTTTTAACTTTTAAGTAAGGACAGAAGGTCATAGAATCCTGTTAATTTGGTAACCTTGACAAAAATCAGAGACATTTTAAGAGCTTAAAAAGCTAGGCTGACCCACCTTTAGACACCCAGTATAATTGAAGACAATTTCAACTTCCATTAAGACCTTTGTTATGTGCAGGCCCTGTCAAAAAAAAAAAAAAAAAAAATGAGATAAGTCTTATATAACTGTAAAAAGCAGCAATTCATCTGCATTCATTTTAACCTGAAACCTGCTGGTAGAAGATATGAATTAGATAATTTGACAGCATGTGTTTTGGTGATTGTTACGGCTTATGGGAGACTTTATAATATTCTTTTTTTAAACTTTTTATTACCAAAGGTTATATTCCCACATTCTATATTATTAAAGGTAATATCAAAAACTGCATAGTTTTTGCAGTTTATCAAAAAATAGTTTTCTGATACATGTTTTTATATAGATCTAGTTGACAGATTAAAAACAGTTCATTAGTTAAATATAAATTTCAGATAAAAATTTTTAATCTAGTTTCCCATCTTTGTATTTTCTAAATCTGGCAAATCTGTGTAGATCTGTGTAAACACAAACTACAAAAGCAGATGTGGTCATGTCAATGTAATCTTCGGAATGTAAATAAATAATTTCATTTGTAATCACCACATTGACATATTTTTAGATGTCATTTTATATAAGATATATAATAATTTTATTGCTTCTCTTGGAATTAAAATATTAGTGCCTTGTCACCTATAGATGTTATTGACTGATTACCAAACATAGATGAATTGAAGAGACTTATGAAGAGTCTTCACAAGTAAACACTCAGTATATGAACGCTAATATCCTGCAGTAAGATCAACATGGGAAAAAAATAACCAGCATTGTTCTCTTCCCCTCCCCCAACCTTTATTTTTTTCTTACAGTTAAATTTATCTAAAGAAAAGACATGCTTGTCTGGTTCCACTCAGATATCACTGAGTAGAGTCAGTGGAAAGAGACTTTGACTCAGATTTTGACTATTTCCTTGTCCAAAAAAAAGTGAATATAATAATGCTACCAGCATTCAGAAGTTGCTGGGAGCATGAAAGAATATCACCTTTTTAGTCTGTAAACAGTTAAGCACAAAATTAATGCTAATTAATTAGGTAAATCAATTATGTATTTTTCTTGTGGTTTCCACTAAGAAATTTGAATTAGTTTCTGAGATTTAAGTTGTAAAATTAATACCCAGTGAATCCCAGCAGGAATATGCAAAGCACTTTGAAAGATTGATGGTGGTCCCCAATCTGTGAGATGGCCTACCTGAGTGTAACCAGATAGGCATGTCTTTTCTTTAGATAAATTTAATTCTAAACAGAAAATAAAAGTAGTTGGGAGGGAGAGTATTTACATAGGCATCATGCATTTTGATTTTGCTGGCCTTTGTTGCTATGTTAACTCACAGATATGCTGGTTACTCTCTTCCCACGTTGGTCTTACTACAAGGATGAAAAAGTTTGCTTATGAAGATGGAAGCAGTTTCATTTTCATGTGTTCACCTTCATTCATGATTAACTTGTGTCTTTTGCTGAGATCTGCTGACAGATCAAGTTTCAGAAGTTGCATGGCTCAGGCATACTTTGTTACATTTACCAAGATAATGAATGCCTTCATAAGGCCCCTAGACAGAAAAGTTTTATGAGGTGTACTGATAACCCCAAGTGGCCAAGAATGTAATCTTGTTCTTATTTGAATTTCTGTATACAGTTTGTATTGGAAAAATTGTTTTAAACCATGTAAAAAAAAAAAAAAAACCATTGCCTCCATCTGGCATTGAATATAGCTTAATTAATCTCATTCACTTCTTGGAGTATCTCAGTATCTGTCATATATCAGAAATTAGGGTAGGAATAGTGCTATTTTTTAATAGACATATTAATAATGCAGATAAGTTTATCATTTTGTACATCTACAAATAAACAAAATAAAGTCTTCATGAATTAAGTTATACTATATAAAACTTACTGTGCATACGGATTCTTCCAAAGAAACTTAGTCTTTTGGGACAAAAATATGTATATGTCTCATTAACATAGCTCATAAGGTTAATATAAATTTGCTATCCTCCAGACTTGATTGTCAATACCCTTAATGCTGCATAAAATGATAAATATGAGTTTTTAAAATTTTTATTCAATATTAACTGGAGACATAAAATGACATTCAAAATGTATCTCAAAAATTCTTTTATCTTTCATTATGAAACTTTAAAAAGTACCAGGGAAATAGTATCTATAAATACTTATTATCATAGTAGAATATTATCTGGAGCCTTGCAGCAGTTTATGTGGTATACCAATAAGTTTTCAATACCTGACATCACCCTTAAGCTCTGCTGCCCTCTCACATAAACAGGTCTGGAGATAGTTCTAAAATAACAGATCACAAAGCTCACATAAAACAGCAAGGATGTTGTCTAGTGCTGTGACTATGGTACTTTTCCAGTCACCTTTAACCAAAAGAGCTGCCTGAGTTGTCTGCTATATGATATTCTGATACAGAGTACTAATATTGAAGTTATAGTTCTGAAATAACTCCTTGTTGCATGTGAAAGAAACGCTTGGCAGTTCCAGAGCCCGAGTAGACCACTCAGGAATAGACCTTGATGCTTGACAGCAGGAAAGCCGAGTCAAAGGAAAAGGACCTTGCTTCAGCCTCTATTTCTTTGTTCAGAAAAAGGAATATAATAAGGTTACCAGGATCAGAAACGTTGCTGGGAGAGTGAAAAGGTATTATCTGTTTAAATTGGAAACCAGTAACCACAAAATTAATGTTAATTAATTTGATAACACTAATTGTGTATTTTTCTTAAAAATGCATAAAAATAAACATGCAACTATTAAAATACCAGTGATTTGATGGAATTCAAATTAACCATACTTTAAGATAAATTAGAAAGATGTTAGGTTTTGTTGTTTTTTTTTTAAATTGACATATATTCAGATGAATAAAGATTATTATAATTTATAGTTACTACTCTAGAAGTTTTTCTTTTATCCTAAGACTTTAATGCACAGTAGTAACATAAATTATCAGTAATAACACACAATGTGAAAAAATATACTGCATATACATTGATTTATAACATGTACCCATTATCAGCCAAAATTTTTGAGAAATATATCTTTGAGAGACTGTATATTAAAAACTAGATGAAATTGATATGTATAATTTATTTATATGAATATGATTATAGAAGTTCTTTTTATTAAGTGTTTTATATTCAAAATTTCATGTAAAGCCTTTCAATATTCAACATCAGAAGGAATCAGTCTAAGATATATGTTATTGTGGTAGAATTTAGTTTTTTAGCTTATTTTTATTTTCATTTATTTTTTGGAGTACAAAAAATATTTTACTAAAACATAGGATTTACAGAAGTGAGCAGACAAGCCATACAAAATGGTCACGAGCTTTTTTTTGAAAGGGGAATGTACACTTGACAGCAAAGTCACAGTGTTATTAGTGAGGGCTGTGATGTTTGGTTAATGTTCCCCTTCTGGTTCAGACATCAAGCTTGTCCATCTACAGTGTTAAATAAAGTGAGACTTGGCTAGAGAACATATTCTAAAGAACTGGTTAGTTGCTCTTAAGCAATGCAATTAGATCACCAAAAAAAGCAAGAAAGGACCTTGTAAATTTAAACTATTGCCCTACTCAGAAAAATAAAATTAAAATTAAATAAAGAAAAACACCTACACTCCTGCAGCTAACCTGACAACTACCTTCATTCTTAGTGCTTTATACTTAAACTAAGATGGGAGAAATGAATAAAAGCAGAAAGGGACCACTGCTTTTAAACGTTTCACAACAGTCCAAATGATAATTCCAGCCTCTGCTCATGCTTTACAACAGTGAATCAGGACAAGACATAGATTTGCTAATGTGCATTTAATTACCAAAGGACTGAAGATGTCTGGGCTTTTATTATGTAACGTTTCTAAGACTGTGTCCAGTAAATGCAAACAAAAAGAAAGAACTCTGTCTTGGCAGAACAGGAGAAGCGGTTCACACTTGATGATCAGATCAATCTAAATATTGTTCATGACATAAAGCCTAGTACCTGGTCTAGCTGTTTCTATGCCTCGGGCTTTGTTGGTCTTCCAATGTTCCTCTATATCATTTGCTAATGGAACATCTGGATTGGGAGCACTTAACAGGTCCTGGATCAATAGCAGAACTGTGTAGATCTGCAGTGCTGGGGACCACTTATCTTTTAGATTATCTAAACATATTCTTCCCAACTTGTCTACATTAGGATGATAAATTTTGGTTATGAAATGCACTTTAGGTGCTGCCATTGGATATTCTTCTGGAAAGAATAGTTCGGGTTTAAAAGTCCCTCCCTCAAAAGGGGAATCCTGGGTGTTGGTCTCATCTGGTTCTGCTTTGACTCCAGGATCTGGTTCTGCCAACAAATGCTTGGTTTCCCTGATGATCCTGCGGGGCAGCCCAGATGTCTTGTCAGGTCCCGAGTTTGGCCTCTGGTCTCTAACTTCTAGTTTATATATTCTTGTTTTTAATGTGCAAAAATATACACTTAAGCTTACTAGGAGAAAAACAGAACACTGTCACTGTTTATTATGTATCAATTAACATAAATTATTTTAATGGTATTTCAGAACAACAAAAAAGAGATCTTAAAGATTTCAGTGTAATTGAAATCTGAAAACATATTCCATATAATTTACTATGAAAGAGAAGTGACAGTCTAATACAGTCATATTCATTTTTTTGTTTTGTTTATTACAATAGACATTTAGAACATCTTTTCCTAAAGGAATTTCAGTTGCTTTGCTGATTTTCAACTTGTCAGATTGTTTATTCCTTTTCCTTTTTGCAATATAATGATAATGAGAATAAATTTTGTTTTGTGTGAAAATAGATTTGTTTCTGTAGCAGTTAAAGAGATAATCTGATAAATCTGAATGTTATTTTAACAGTTTGTGCTCCTGTCATACTTTGAACTGTGAATTTTATTCAACTGCCCTCTATCAGGCAAGCTTTATGAATTCCTGCAATTTGCTGAAGGCATTGTAACAAAAACAATACAGTGAAGTAGAATAAACCTTTAAAAACTGTGAAGATTATACTTATTTTTTATTATTTATTATTTTCTGTAAGAATTTTGGACAAAGACCTGTGCTTGGGGGTGAAACACAATTGATTATTTCCTTTAAATCTATTTTCTTTTTTCTTTCTATAGTGAGAGGCTTATTGATATATAATTCACACAGCATGAAACTGACTATATTAAAGTGTACAATTCAGTGGTTTTTACAATATTTGCAGAGTTGTGCAACCATCATCACTATCCAATTTTATAATATTTTCATCACCCCTCAAAAGAACTCCACACCCATTAGGACTCACTCCCCATTCCTCCCTACTCCCAGTTTTCTGGTAACCAATAATTTACCTCTGTCTCTTTGGATTTGCCTGTTCTGGACATTTTATATAAATAGAATGATTAAATATGTAGTCTTTTGTGGCTTGCTTCTTTCCTTTATTATATTATTCTGAGGTCTGTTCATATGATAGCATGTATCAATATTTCATTCCTTTTTATGAGTTATGACAAAAATATTTTATGGATACATCACATCTATATTTATCAATTTATCAGTTGATGGATATTTAGATTGTTTTCACTTTTAGACTATTATCAATAATGCAAATGTGAACATTGGTGTGTAAGTTATTATAAAGACATATTTTTATTACACTTGGGTGTATATTTAAGAGTCAAATTGCTACAGCATATGGTAATTTTATGTGTAATATTTTCAGGAACGGCCAAACAACTTTGCAGAATGGCTGCTTCATTTTAAAACCAGAAATTTATGAGAATTCCCATTTTTTTCATGTCTTCATCTACACTTTTTTTTTTTTTTTTTTTTTTTTGAGACAGAGTTTCACTTTTGTCACCCATGCTGGAGTGCTATGGCACGATCTTGGCTCACTGCAACCTCCACCTACTGGCTGGGAATACAGGCACACACCACCATGCCTGGCTAATTTTTGGATTTTTAGTAGAGTCTGGGTTTCACCATGTTGGCAAGGCTGGCCTCAAACTACTGATCTCAGGTGATCCATCCGCCTTGGCTTCCCAAAGTGTTGGATTACAGGCGTGAGCCATAGCACCCAGCCAATATTGTCTTATTTTTTTAAGTTTTGTTATTCTATTAGATATGAGATAGTATCTCATTGAGGTTTTTGTTTACATTTACCTAATGAATAATAATATTGGGCATCATTTTATGTACTTGTCAGTCTTTATTCTTTCTTCTTGGGAAAAAGATGTACTCCAGTCTTTTGCAGTTTTTGAATTTGTTCTTTTATTGTTGAGTTGTAATAAATCTTAATATATTCTGATTACAAGTAATGTATCAAATATATAATTTGTAAGCATATTCTCCTGTTGTGTGCATTGCTTTTTCATTTCTTTATATGTTGATGCACCAGTTGTTAAATTTTGATAAAGTTCAATTTTCTAAATGTTTTTGTCTCTAATGTTTTTGGTGTTATGTCTAAGAAACCATCGCCTAGCAAAAGGCTGTGAAAAGTTTCCCCTATGTTCTCTCTTGTAAAAGTTTTGTAACTAGGGGTTTTGCACTTAGATTTAAATCCAATTTTGGTTCATTTTTGCCTATTGTGTGAAGTAAGGGGTCCAAATTCATTCTTTGCATGAAGATTGTTGAAAAGACTATTCTTTTCAACACATAATTGGGTTGAAAAGACAATTGTGAAAAGACCATTTTCACACAATTTAAAAAAGACTATTATTTCCCAGCTGGGTGCAGTGGCTCACGCATGTAATTCCAACACTTGGGAGGTCAAGGCGGGCAGACCATGAGGTCAGGAGATGGAGAACATCCTGGCTAACATGATGAAACCCTATCTATACTAAGAAAAATATATTTAAATAAATAGCCGGACATGGTGGCATGTGCCTGTAGTCCCAGCTACTTGGAAGGCTGAGGCAGGAGAATCACTTGAACCCAGGAGGTGGAGGTTGCACTGAGTGGAGATCACTCCACTGCACTCCACACTCCAGCCTGGCAACAGAGCAAGACTCTGACACCAAAAAAAACAAAAAAGACTCTTATTTCCCCATTAAATATTTTTGGAATTCAAACCTAAAATCAAATAATCATAAATGTAAGCTATATTTCTGGACAATTAAGTCTATTCTATTTATTTATTTGTTTTTTCTTATGTAGTACACACTGTATTGATTATTACAGTTCTGTAATAAATCTGGTTATTGGGAAGTATGAATCTTGCAACTTTGATGTTCTTTTTAAAATGTTATTTTGGCTATTCTGGAGTCATTACATTCTCAAATATATTTTAGAATCAGCTTGTTAATTTTTTAAAAAAAAGGTAATTGATTTTTTTTGGTAGAGATTGTATTGAATCCATGTACCAAATTGGAGAGTATTGCCATCTTAACAATATTGTCTTCCAATTCTTTTCATTTATTTAGATTCTCTTTGATATTTTCAACAAGATTTTGTAGCCTTCAGTGTAAACATATTAAACTTTTGTTGTTTATTTATAAGTATTTAATTATTTTGTGCTATTATAAATAAAGTTGTTTTCTTCATTTTATTTTTAGATGTTTCATTACCAATATATAGACATCCAGTTGATTTTGGATATTGACTTGTATTCTGCAAACTTGCTGTAATTATTAGTTCTAAATTTTGTGTGATGTTCTCAGGGTTCTCTATATATAAGAGCATGCCATCTGTGAGAGGTCACAATTTTACCTCTTTCCAATCTGAATACTTACTTCCTTTCCTTGCTTAATTGTTCTGGCTAGAATCTACAGGACAATGTTGAATAAAAAGATGAAAGTAGACATTCTTGTTCTGTTTCTGATCTAAGACGGAAAGCATGTAGTCTTTCCTGCTTAAGTTTGACATCAGCTATGGATAATCAGGTTCAGGACTTTCCCTCCTATTTGGTAGATGCTTTTCATTGGGTTCAGAAGTTCCCCTCTATTCTTATTTCTTAAAAGCTTTTACCATGTAAGAATGCTGGATTTTTCAAATATCTTTCTACTTCTATAAAAATGCTCATGTGGTTTTTGTAATTTATTGATATGATGTGTTATATTGGTTGATTTTTGGAGGTAATATCAACCTTGCATTCCTGATGTAGTAACCACTAGGCAATGGAGTATAATTCATTTAATGTGGGTCTGCATTTAATTTCTTAGTATTTTTTGAAGATTTTTATGTGTATTTTTATAAGAGATATTAATGTATGTTTTCTTTTTTTGCTGTAGTTGTCTGGTTTTGATATCAAGGTAATATGTAGAATGAGTTGAAAGTGTTCCTTCCTCTTCTACTTTTTGCAAGCATTAGTTAAACACTGGTATTAATTAAATGTTTGATAGAGCTCATCAGTGAGGCAAGTGAAGTAGGGCTAAAAATTTTCTTTTTGGGTAGTTTTCCTAATTACACTTTCAATCTCTTTACTTATTATAGATCTTTTCAGATTTTCTATTTATTCTTGAGTCAGCTTCAGTAGTTTGTGTTTGTCTAAAAATTTGTCATTTTAATGTAGGTTATCTAATTTGTAAGGTCACAGTAGTTCATACTATCTGTCTTAATTTTTTTTAATTTCTCTAAGTTCAATAACAATGTTTCTTCTTTCATACCTGATTTAGTAATTTACATTTTCTCTCCTGTCATCTTGTTTCATCTAGCTTAAGTCTGGCAATTTTGTTAAAGTTTTGGTTTTGTTGGTTTCTTTATTTTTTTTTTCTATTGTCTGTTCATTTATTTCTACCCTTAATGCTATTATTTCCTTCTTTCTCATAGCTTTATGTTTAGTTTGCATTTTTACTTTTTCTAGTTTCTTTAGATGGAAGGTTGGGTTACTGATTTGAAATTCTTCTTGTTTTATACTGGCATTTACAGATGTAACTTTCCTTTTAAAGAATGCTTTAGCTGCATCTCAAAATGTTTGTTTGTTCATTTTATTGGAGACAGGGCCTCACTATGTTGCCTAGTCTGACCTTGAACTCCTGGACTCAATTGTTCTTTCTATTTCAGCCTCTGAGTAGCTGAAATTATAGGTGTGGGCCACAGTGACTGGCTAGGGTTTGTTGTGTTGTGTTTTTACTTTCATTCATGCAATTATGTTGTAATTTTTCTTGTGCATTTTGTTGTTGTTTTTGTTTTTTGTGGTTTTTTTTTTTTTTTGTCTGTTGGTTATTTAGGAGTGTTTTCTTCCATTTTCATACATTTTTTAATTTTCTAATTATTCTTCTGTTAATGATTTTTGTTTTTCTTTTTATTGTGTTTGGGAAAGAGACGATGAACAATTTAATACCTTTTAAATTTATTGACGCTTGTTTTATAGCCTAGCCTGTGGTTTATCAAGGAGCTCATGAGTACCTGACAAGAATATCTTAATATATTCTGCTATGATTGTATGCTCTATATATTATGGTTATACATGCTAGTATATAGTTCTAGTGCTGTTTAAATCTTCTGTTTTCTTTATAATCTTCTGCTTACTTGTTCTATTCACTGTTGAAAGTGCAACATTG